TGGAGGAACCTCTTAAAAAACCCCAAGACACTATTCTGTAAATTTATCCTACATATCCAGTGTGAAAACTGCAAAACAAAATATTCCTCTCTCATTCTCTTTTTGTTTGTGTTTAACTTGTAACAGCTGAAAATATAGAAAAGGCTAAATGTGAGACTGGAAAGAGCCTGTAACCTCCAGCCAAAGAACAAAATGTGTCTCATGAAATACTCATGATGCTGGAGAACATTGCAACAGCCAGGAATAGCACAGCTATGAATTCTGTGATAATACAGAAAGAATTTGATTGAACTATTTTCAATAAATGCAGCAGATCACAACGTACAAGAAACTCAGTATAAACACCAATTGAAATGTATCCTGTTTGGTAAGTGAGGCAAAGCAGGAAATTTCTATATAAAGTTTTTTAGTGAACTTCTACTGTCTTTAAAAGTCATTAAAAGCATGATAAGCTAGTTTGACTCTATGGTCTAGTGTGTTTCAATTTAACTTGCCAGAGCACATCTCTTTTATTTACTGAATGACATTTTTCACTGAATAATGAAATATATTTTGAATTAGAAAAGGTGAAGTCCTGCTAGTAAAATCACTCTGGCATTTATCAAAAACATTAGTATATTTTTATTAGTAGTACCAAAATACTATGAAGATCATTATTTCTTTATAATGCTGACTGTATTACATTATATTTCTCAGAGTTTATTACACAGTATTACAATATATTTCCTCCTTATCAAATAAAAATTTTGCCCACAATCAGAGCAGTCTGAAAGATGCAGTAGTTCCATTCAACTGTAGATTTGCTCTGTATCTGATTAATTCTCCACTTTTAATTAAGTTGTCATAGCAATGCATTTTTATTAGCACTGATTCATATGCCAGTAATGTTCTGGAGACAGAGCTCTTGATAGTTTTTTAATACTCAGAAATGCTAAATTATAACATTAGCAAACACACAAGAACTGGTCAACTTGCTTGAGCAGAAGAACATGGGATCTAACTTAAAATAGGCCAAAGCATAATCTGGCATACACCACAGAAAGTAACTCAAAATTTTGGGTGGCTTAGCTCAAGAAAATAAAAGCATATCCTACATCTGTTTAGTTTTCATATTGAAAATGCCTAATGATAAAAAATTACTCAATGATTTTTAAAAAATTAGGTGATTACATCTTACTAGGCAGAAAGAAAATTGTGTTTTTTTCTAAAGTTGCTCCTTTCATATACTGGTACCTATATGATACACTAGGCAGCTGTGGAGAATAATTATTGTTAATGGGAAATGGCTGTACTTTGTTGATGCTGTTTTAGCACGTCTTTCTCTCTATATTTTTAACAGATAATTTAAATTACACATATTTATAAGGTTTCAAAATAATAGGAAATCATCCTCTGAGGACTAGGACTGTATTTTCAAGGCACTTATAGCAAGTTTCCACATGCATGAATCTGTGAGAATGAGACAAGAATCATGAGCAAAGAATATTGCCTGATATTTCATTCAATTTTTTTAATTCAGAATGTGAAGAATAATGTGCATTATGTTCTAGCATCAGGTAAAATAGAAAAAAGAGACATTATTTTCCTCATGTCTCTGTAGAAAGCACAAGGCTTAAATTCTGAAAGTGCTGGTTGAAAAAAGCATTGTGTGGCACATATCCTTTAAATGTTCCTTCAAAGGGCTGATGAAGGGGAAATTATATTATGAATGTAATAACTGACCTAACTAATATATCTTAATGAAGATGTGTATTGATTTGGTTATGAGGAATGCTTAGCCTCTAAATATATAAATGCAAAATGGTAATTGTTCACTCTGAAGTTTCTGACCTTCCCTGAATGATGTGAGAAACACATCTGCTTAAGTCAGACTCTGAAAGCTTGCAAGCAAGGAAAAGGTGTGCAACTACTAGAAATTTAACATACACTAAATTTTAACCTAAGAGTCAAAAATTAAACCAAAAGAAGGGGTTTCAGACTGAAGCACAGTTGAAATCTAACAATGGCAAAGATAAAGTAACTAAAGGAACTGTGGAGTGATGGAGGAAAAAAGAGACTAAATAGTTTAGCAGAACTTTTGCTTCCCTCTCAATTCTTGGTATGTGCATTTTTCCTTAGTATCACCATCACTGGCAAGGAGAAACTAAATGAAGAGAGATTCTACAGTCATTTCTGGATATTGGAAAATGCATGAGCTCATGGAGGAATATGGTTTTATTTAGGCCACAGAGCATGTTAGACATGGAATACATGTAGAGCAGAAAACAGTGCTCAGTCTACAACCAAACCCTGAAGACTACAGTCTTGCAAGTGATAATAGTAGCATGCTGAGGTTAAGTTGCACCATTTTCCAGCTTTCTAGTCTGTTTTTAATGAACATGACCTTATTCACTTTCTTGGATGTATTCCTAAATATAAGGTATGAACTGTCGCTATAGGATACTTCTAATTTAGTTCTTTGCTACTAGACAAAAGCTCTGAACATTTTTGAATCAGATGTTCAAAATAATTGCTTCTCCAGGAGAAAAAAAACAACCCAAACCATTGCACTATATTTTTGCTGTACTTGTATTAATTTTCACATACTAAAATATCACTCAATAGTAGTAGAAATAGCAACTATGGATGGACTCTGAGATAAGCTGTAAAGAGTGAGCTATGGTGGGAAGCTATAAGACAATAACACTCTAACTAATAATTAATAATATAATGCACTTTGAAATTATTAGTTGCACCATATAGAGCTGCTGACATATCAGAAGAAAAACCAACCATACTTGTTTTTCCACAGGAGTACCCATAACAAAGCAGATAGCATCAGGTGCCTACAGCTGCAGTGCCAGCTTATTTATCTCTCTAAGACAATAATAAGTGGTGGAGACATAAACAGGGGTGAAACTTTAGCTGACTTCAACAAATATCTTTACAAATCTGATTGCATTGTCTACATAGAAAAGGCATTTTTGAAGATCTAAGATTGGACAAGTAAGAAAGAAGAAGGTGTTAAATCCTCAGAGAGGACTCCTACAAAAGATAGTAGAGAGAAATACCTGGCTATTGTCTACTCTCACTGTAGTAGTGCCTACTCTCAATGTAGGTTGACAAGGTAGCATAACAAAACCCCTTTCTGCTTGTTTTGGCTGGAATAGAGTTTATTCTCTTCACCGATGATGAGCTAGTATGGGCTATGTTTTGGATTTGTGCTGAAAATGGTGTTGATAACACAGGGATGTTTTAGTTATTACTGAGTATCACTTGCAGAGAGCCAAGGCCTTTCTGCTTCTCACCCCACCCCACCAGTGAGCAGGAGTTGGGAGGAGACACAGCTGATCCCAACTGACCCAAGGGATATCCCACACCATATGACATCATGTTCAGCATATAAAGATGGGGGAAGAAGAAGGAAGAGGGAGACATTCAGAGTGATGGTATTTGTTTTCCACTTTCCATAAGTCACCACTACGTGTGATGGAGCCCAGCTTTTCCAGAGATGGCTGAACATCTGCCTGCCAATGGGAAATAGTGAATGAATTCCTTGTTTTGCTTTGCTGACATGTGTTGCTTTTGCTTTACCTATTAAACTTTATCCCAACACACAAGTCTTCTCACTTCTACCCTTCCAATTCTCTCCCCCATGCCACCAGGTTAGAGTGGCTGTGTGGGGCTTAGTTGCCATCTGGAATTAAGCCATAACAACCTTCTACAAACATCAGCCCAATGTTATGAAAATGTTGTTGCCAGGTTCTGAGTGGGCTTTCTCCTTTGAATGCCTTGGTGAAAGGAAGAATAACAATTTACACTGTTACTCATCAAATAAATACAATAGAGTAGTCCCCCGTTGTTACTCCCATACATTTCCCATCATATTCCTCTTCAGTGAATAATAAAGCTGACCCTTTCCTCAGACAAGGGATAGGTCATCTTGCAAAGGTATATGTTTGAGAAAAAAATGCCTCTCTGCCTGCCAAAAGCTCTGTCTACTTCTCTCATAATGACTCAGAATAATTTCATCCAACATCATATACAAAAGAGTACTAGATCTGATTGCTCGGCTTATGATTATTTATCAGATGCAAGACATATAGGCAAAGTAGTGGTAAATAAACGTGACATGTAATATTTTCCCTTTTCCTAGTTTTAAGTCCAAGACAGGTAGAAAGTCAGCCTACAGATGACCAAGAAGACAACGTTTCCAACTCACTTTAAGTTTGCACATTAACTATTAAATAAATCCTTTCCCAAAGTACTTAAATAAAAAAACCTGATGCCAAAGCTTGTCTTGGATCATCATTTTGAAGCTGTAACACAAGTCATCACTTTGAGTGTCAACTGAGATGGGACAAATGTGTGTTTAACTTCATTCAGCACAGAGATTTTTATAGAAAAGGAAATATGCTTTGGTTAATGTGGAAGGTGCTACTAGAAACAGTGAGCTGTTAGTGAAAAAGGAGCAAAACAGTGAGAAATGCTTTTTTCCTTGGCCTACAAAATAAAATTATGTTGTTCATAAAAACCATGAAAAAGGACCTTATAATACTATATTCATTTATTGGATAATTATGACTTTGACTCAGTGATTCTTCTATACTTTGCTATCCGAATAATAAAAACAGCCAGACTGACATCATACTTGTGCTGTTATTCAGCAAGCCATTCCATTACCTGTATATTTTTAGGACAGTGTAAGAGTTAACCTTGACTACTTCATTCTGTAACACAGACTCTCTCTCAGGAAGGTTTTGAAAAAGGAAATTTTCCGATACCACAGATCTCAGTGTTGCATTGATATATAACATTAATGTATAGAAACAAACTAATGTCAAACAGTGAAATGGTGAATAGGTACATTCTAGCAAAGAGAAAAGTGAAAGAGAAGGAAAAAGCCTAGATATTTTAAACAATTTTTTGTTACTATAGCCCAAGGCTTCCTCTTGATTCTTTTCAAGCGGCAATAAAAATAATATTAAATATTTAAAATGTGAACAGGCAAGTTTACTTACTGTTTCCTGGATGCCAGCGCACTGCATTTAAATATGCATTACAGTAATGGAAGAGAAATTCATGCTTAGATCGAGTAACTTTTCCTTGAAGTAAGGGCAGCAGATCATGTCCATCAATAATTCTAAATAGGAAAGCATTTCAAAATCAGAAGAATCCAAACCTCACTTTACTGAGAAAGTATTATAACTCTGCACATCTGCTAGTAAAAAAACCCAAAATCTGAATGGCCACCTCCATCTGGTCAAGTCGAAGAAAAACCTTCATGTGCTCCTTCCTTTGATTTTTACATTACTACTTAAGTAAACATTAATTTTACATTTTGTCATTATGAATGGTTGTTTTCTCAACTCTGTTTTGTTTTTTTTTTTTTTTAAACAAGAAATTGACCAGATATATGTGAATAAATTGCTACAACACAATCCTTCACGTGCACCTGCTCAAGCGTTTGGGAGTAGCCTGGCCAAAGTAATCCTAAAACTAAACTAGAGAAATATATGCTGCGCTCTGTTAGCATCCCCAGAAGTAACGGTAAGAATTCTGTCCAGCATATTATGCATACCTGAATTTAAGACAGAAGTAGTTGTTTCAAATTTGAAAATCAACTATGTTTCAATATGTATTTATCAACTACAGACAGACACACACACACGCGCATTCATATATATAGATATGTATATAAATTCTCTAAATGCTTCTGGACAATTCTGATCATGCGCTGAAGGAGTCAGTCAATTTACATAAAAATTGACTTATAAAATAAGTAAGGCTTTTAAATGTTTCCATAAATTAAGCCTTTGAATTGCTGGAATCAGCTGGAAGAGGAGAAATCACAATCTGCCTTTTTGACCTGGTATGAATAACAAATTTTACAATAAGTTTTATAGGAAATTACTTTTTGCTGATATACATATCAGCAAGTAATTCTTTCTTAAGCATTTTGAGCAATGTCTCATAAAAACTTTTTGAAACTTATAAAAAGTTTAAAAATGTCTATGTTAATTTTCATTACCATGAAACATTTTTCATGTTAGTGTAACAAGACAGGTACTAACTTCACTTTTTTAAGCCATAAGCTACATATGATGATTAAATTCATGGCAGGAACTGTATGCAACAGAGCCATTATGAGTAGCACTTTTCTCAAATGGTAGCCAAGAAAACATCCTGGAACTCCTAAAGCTATGTTATCTGATAACTCTGCCTTCTGAGTACGTCCTTGACTGTGGGGGTCTGTTGAATTAGAGTCTGTCCCACTTTCAATTTGTTGTGTTTTCTTGCCTGAGTGACAGACTTGTCTTGCCCCTGCAGGCTTGCTCATTAACAAACTAAGAGCAGGACAGATGCATGTATATTGTACACTTTCTGGTTTAGACCCTGTTGATAGGGAAAAGGGTATCTTCACTAATATGGCTCCAGTACTCTCGTATTCCTAGAGCTGCCGGTTTCAGAGGAATATATAAGACTCTTTCTGATGAATAATTTCTCTTCTTTAACTAGGAGCACCTCCTCCTTTTCTTTTTAACCTGCTCCCTCACAGTGACTGAATCCCAATTGTAATAATTTTTCTTACTTCTAATGAGGAATTCAGTGGAGTAATAGGAATTCAGCTGCTGGATGGAAAATGCTTCAAGATAGTCCATGACCTAACATGAAGCAGTACTTAGAGCATCCAGTCTATGGAAGAAATCTTACAGAAGAATCAGAGTGGAGCAACCTACAAGTGGAAGTTACACAAGTATATTGGGATTTCTATCAAAGAGATCAGAGAAAACATCAGTACTTAGTCTCCACTCAAGCAATATGAAAACAAACTGCATAGTATCTGCCACATAAGGACCAATCTGAACTGCTGAGGTTTGACAGTTACCACTTGTAGGGCATTTCTCAGGACCAATCTGACTAATTTTTCATGTCTTACACTTGTCCTACCCTGCCATTTCCTTCAAGCACTCAATGAATCATCATTAGCAGAATGACTCTGCTCAGCACTGGGCTTCCCCATGTGAATTCTCAATGCTTTGTGCTATTTGTGTGTTGTAGATGTTGAAGGATATGTTTATCAGCAGGTTTCTCTGCTTACTGGATTTGGAGGGCAACAGCACTTAAGTGGAGGTACTTTGCTGCTGAGATTGGGTATCTTCCAAACCAGACAAAGCCTGGAGATGTAGCAGTGTCAGTAAGGTATCTTATGAATTTCAGAAGCCCAGTGAGTTTTCTTATTAGGCTGTAAAACTCTGTAAGGGATTATTTTCACTAACTTGGCACAGGGGAAAAAAAATCCAAACAACAACAAGAACAACAAAAACAAACAAACAAACAAACAAACAAACACAAAACCAAAAACCAACCAACCAAAAAACACCCAAAAAAAAGAAAGGAAAAAAAACCCCAAAAAACAAGCAAACAAAAAAACCAAACACTTGTGAGAAAAGCCTAGCTGGTCATGAAGTTTAAAGTAATTTACAATTGCAGTTCCTTTTTCTACCCCATTCACTCATGCAGAACACAACTGTTTTGTTACATTCATTTTTGCTTTTGGTAAATATTTCCAGGTTTGATTTGACAGTATGTTGTTCTGATGGTTTCTCTTATCTTTTTGGTGCTTGGTTCTTGTTCTGCAAGTTAAGCTGTATTTACATACAACGTTTCTGTAAAATATATCAGTATGTCAATATGAAAAGAGACAACATACTATTGTAAGGATAAAACCCAGTTTCTTACTCACATTCTCACCTCTATCTTAATAGACATCACCAGAATGTATAAAACACTCATGACACTTTCTCTAAAACAGAGATGACTACAGAGCATACCTGTCAGAGGGTAACTGTGCCTCCGCAAGTTTGACTATGGTAGGAAATATATCCATGTTACTTGTTGGCTCATCAATATAGGCACCAGTCTGTATCACTCCAGGCCAATGGAGAAGACCTGGCACACGAATACCTCCTTCCCAGTTTGTTGATTTTCCACCTGTAAAATTAGTTTTGTTTGCTGAGAAATCAACTTCTTAGATAATGCTCCCTCCACAAGATTCAATTTCCAAATATTAAACATTCTGCTTAGCTAGAATCTTTCCATGAAATGTATTTTTCTTATTTTTACTTTGCTAGATTTTCCCCTAGAGTAGTACTTTATCACAGTAAATTTACTAATATGTATTAGTATTTAGTATAAATAAACTAAATGAACGTATTTAGTTTACAATAAAGTAAATATGTGCAGGAGATTAAAAGGCACTTTACAGGAATCTTCATATAGAATTTGGTCTAGATAGGGTGTCCCATAACCCACTTTATCCATGTATCTCCCTTTTTCGAATTAAAAAAAAAGAAAAAAAATTACAACAAAGTACTTCAAGAGTTCTATTTCCTCAGCCTCTTTAACCTCCAAAACACCTCATACATGTCTTGGCACCTTTGGTGCCAAGCTCAGCCCTTGCTATATGTATACGTTATCCGTTTTACTGAGTCCTCGATGATCTTTTCTATTTCAGTAATAGTGGTTTCAGAATCCACCTGGTTTTCTACAGGTTTTTCACTGTTTGTAAAGGTAAATAGTAACTTCAAGATAGAAAATTCTCTTTTGCAGAGATATTTACCTATATATATACATATTCTTGTGGCTGAAAGAGTATTAGCTCATGAGTCCTTGTTATATCAAATTTCTGCTTACATTTTTCATGGGCTTTATCAGAATTCATAATATTGAATAGTCAGAGACACATCTAGTCTGCAATCAGAAAACTCAGACTTCCTAATATCCAGCATTATGCCAAGCAACAATATTTCCTTAAGCTGTTTTTGGAAAACAGTGCCAAGATCAGATCTCAACAAGACTACTCGTGTTCTAGAGCACTGTTAAAAGTTTACTCCTGTCTGTGAGTCAAATCTGATTCCATTCACATAATAAAGTGTTTGGTTACCTATTCTAAAACTCAAGAATGAGATGCATGTACTACTTTTGTTCGCATTCTTGTAAAAAATATGATTTTTCAAAACAAAAATGTAAATTTAAGTTCATAAAGTTGTTATCTGGGGAGGTGTAGAACACCTGTTGCCTAGCAAAAGGAAGTGTTCATCCAACAGTATGCTGCTTAGTTGTTAATTTTGTTAGGTCAAGGTCAGAGTAGGTCTCAACAGACTGTGTACATCTTCTGTAGAAAAGATTATTCCTGTTCAACAATCATTAGGTTTTTCAAAGTTTGGTGGGATTAGGTGTTAGCTAGTAGGAAAAGGTCAAGACTGAGCTATGGTGCATAGAAAATCCTGTTGAGTGGGAATAGTTAAATCCAAATAAGTCAAGAAAAGCACAAGGACAGAAAACTATAGATATCTTCAAATTAACATACTTTCTGTGAACAGCTATGCCAGGGAGATAATTTAGTTCATGAGCCAGATCCCAGTTCTATGTACACATCACAGCAGCTTTTTGGCTGAACAGTATCAACAGACAGAAAACTCCAAGAGTTGACCTATACTGTATGTAGCTTTAAGTGTGAGGCTCCTTTTATTTCTGTGTACAGAACCCAGTAACAGTGCTAGCTAGATTGGATTGCTTAAGTAAATTCTCATTACACTGTTGTCTCCTGTGTAATCTGAAGACAGAAAAATTTCAAGATAAGGGGTGAACCTGATTTCCACATGCTGCAATTCTTAAAACCTAGATATTGTGTCACTTTCACAGCTCTTAGGTTGACAGTGCAATTTTCTTGAATCACTACAGAAAAGGTCAGAAAAGCTGCACATTACCCAAGCACAAAGGAACTCTGCACACTCCGACTCTCCACTGTAAGATACAAAAAGCAAAATGGACTCCACAGTAGGGCTATATCTTCACTTATGTCTATGAAGAAGTGACTGCTGTTTTCCTTTCAAAAGGCTAATTGGAGCATAATTTTTTTATAGCTCTGGAGATTGGGAATAGCAGGGAACCAGGGCAGGAATTACAAGTCACTGCAGAAGACTATCTTCTATTATCTACGCTTATGTGGTATTCATTTTTATTACAATAATGTTCAGTGACATATATGATTTTTAAAAATCTAGCTGTTAAATTTTGTTCAAGCATTCCTATCTGCATTCTTTTTTCCTAAAAAAAAAAAAAAAAAAAAAAAAAAAAAAAAAAATCAAGTTTTTACTTCTGATGCTTGAAACATGAAGCAAACATCCAAATAGCTAAAATATGAGAAGGGCAATAAAAAAATCCACAAAATATCATTATTTTAAAAAAAATCTCTTAATATTAAGGATCTGACTCACTAGTTTTGTATTTTGCTTGGACTTGACAACACTGAAATGGAGAAAAGACAGGAACCTAGTAGTCTATATGCCTTGCAAACTCTAGGCAGCCTAGCTGTATATTATTTTTGTTCTCTTAAATTCTTATAAAAGTTTTTTTTTAAAGCATAAGATACACCAAGCTGCATCTTCATGCTTAGCTTTCTGAGTGGTTGCAGCTTTCAGTGTTATATTGAACAATAGCCTATGTTTACCTCTCCTAAAAAATCCACAGGAATAGGCAAAATACATAACTCTCTGCAGTCATCCACAACATGATGTCAAATTTCCATTATATCCTCATTTTAAATCTTAGCTAAAAGAATACATCTTTTCTTTTTCTCCCTCTGGTTTAAATTGACTGCTATTATCTAACTCTGGGAATAGAGTTTTTACAAAGGATGATATATAAAGGGGAACTCTGTGGTAAATTGTTATTAACATGAATGATGAAAACTATTTTAAATACCTTTCTTAGATCATGTGGATTATAATCATACTACCCTTTCCTTCCTTCATATTTTCTTATTAAAAAAAGCTTCTAAACCCAATTTATTATCTTGAATAATACAGAAATACAAAGAAATTGATTATTCTACCCATATGTAATATACTTTATGCTACAAATATCAACAATCTACTGTTTACTTTACAAAACGATCAAAAACCAATTTATTTTCAATGGCAAGTTCACTCTTTATTTTACTGATTTTTAACTTGTTTCATGTACTGGTTTTGCTAATTTTCAATCTGAGCTGTTCTTGTACAGGTGAATGGAATAGACATGATCCATTTGGACATCTTCTCATCTGACCTTTCTTCCAATCAAAGGAAATGATCTCTCAGGATACTTTTTGTTTCAGTCAAAATTACAAGATGGGTTGATCATTTAAAAATCTTGACCACTTCAGAGAGAATATAAAAATGCAGTACATTTGAAAAAAAAGGTAAACTCCTGCTTTCATTCAAGTCAAAAGTGAAACTTCAGTAAATATCCCTAAATATGCCATAACGTGGTCCCTGGGGCCAAAGTAATGGTCATCTTGATTTCTCTGTGGCTTACAGGTAGGAAAAGTTTACTAATAGCTTCAAGAAAATCTGCAGAACTAACTTGTCACTGAGTGTATAAACTTATATTAAAATAATAAATTTGAATGACTTATTGGATAATTGATTCCTCCAGTTGTTGTTTAGGTCTCATAGATCCTTAGGAAACACTCATCATTATTTTTCATGGATATTAACAAATAATGATGATAATACCTATTTCTAAGGAACAAAGTACTTACAATGAATGTTGTTCAAATAGTTTGCCATTATCAGTGTTGGACTCCACTTCCACTAGCAGCAGAACTCACGACCTACTCTGGTGGCACAACAGTAGCCTAGGGCCTGTATACATTGCACTAACTGCTTCAGAAGTACAAAGACAGACAATGTTTCTAACGCACTAGTCTGAGGTACAGCAAAAATATATATATCCAAAAGAAGTTGACGGTAAGAGATGCAAGAAGACTCCGCAGAAATCCTGTACATAACAGAGTGGGATAGACATCAACAAGTGACAATGAGAGAGGACTTCTACTGTCTGCATATGTACCACTGAAATAGTATAATGAGAAAAGGTGTGGATAAAAGTTTTTATTGTCTTTACTGATTACTGCTATAGATTATATACACTTGCTATAGATTATATATGCTGAAGCCAGTTCAAGAAATTACTCACTAAGAAACTAAATAAAAATTACCACAAAATATTTAGATTTAAAATCTCAGGGTACCAAAGAAGAATATAGTGCCATCCTTTAAACCAGTCATCTTACACTGCTTGTTTATTCCATGGAGAAAAAATTCTGTTAATTTATTTATTCTATTAACCTTATTCTAAAGTATAGATCTGAAGTATTTTGAAAAACTAACCTTATTTCTGTTCCTAAGGAAAGCTATGGTGACTAGCACAAATGAACATGCTTCAATGGGACAATTAGTAAAAAAACACCTAAGGAGAAGTCAGTGCAGGTATCCTGGAAATCATATACAAAATCAATACCTCAGTGTTCCATCCCTTTCAACAGAGAAATGTCACAGAACAGAAAAAAACCCACTGAAAAAATTACACAGAAAATTTTAAGAAGAGACTTCAGTTACACATAATAGTGTCCATATTTCAGTCTAAAAATATTAATATTAATATATTATCACATATGCATGCAGGAGTACTTCATGAGTTCTGGTAAGAAGACCTTGAGCTGTTGGGAAGAAATTCTTATTAAAATAGCCACTATTTTTTGCTTTAGAAGCTGTATCTAGATTTAAACCTTTTAAAGATTTTTGACAAGGACCTTCAGGAAAAATTACTGGAACATTAATCATGGGTTAGGAGACAAAAGGTTGTCATGAATCAAAATCTAACAGGCAGGAAACAAAAAGATTAAACAAACAGCCTATGACCCTTTGCAAAAGCAAGTCAATAGCAAGGTACCTTGATGCTACTCTGTGTTAAGCTCCTTACTATTTTAATATATTTCCTTCAGTTTTGAAAGAGAAGTGAGCCATGGAATTGAAAAATCCACCTGACACAAAGTATCAGAGGTTGATCAAATTCAGAAGAAAAGATAATGCCCTTCACACCAAGTTGGATGAACAGGAAACAATGCAACTTCAAATTCTGTAAAAATATTTGCAGCACAATGAACATGGAGAAAAAAATAACTGAACTAGGGTCTATAACTGAACTAGGGTCTATGGTCTTAGTTTTTCAGACTATAACTTTCATTGCATACTTTCAAAAAAGAACCCATACAAAGACTAAGGCTTTATGCATATCTGTAATCAGTAAGATACAAAGTCAATAGGATGAATAGGATAATATTAAGAAGCTAAGTATATGGACAAGTTGACACTTAATGGAAAAAAACAAAAGGTTTTGACCTGTAAAGTAATTTTAAAAAATACATTGCACAATTAGAAATAATTCACAGAGGAAAATAACAAGAAATTAGGGACAAGGTCATCAATAAGAGAAACAGAAGAGACAATTATCTTCTGAATGAGGTATTAAAGGCAAGGAGGCACTAGAGAAGTATTTAAAACAAAGGTAAGCCAGGGAAAATATAAAACCTTTTCCCTCCTTTATCTTATATCAGAGAGTTGAAATGAAATGAAATTTGCAACTTTCCTATTTCAAAATAGTAAACGAAAGCACTGTGTTCTCATTGACAAGTGATAGAGGCTATGCTCAGAATTTAAAAAGACTCAGAGTAGAATTTCATTTCCATATGATGAAAAATTATATAACTAATGCTAAAAAATTTTGTGGAATCTCAGTTGTCAGGATTCACATCTTTAACCAAGCTCATACTATCTAGGATTAGGAGATCTTCTTAGGGATTTTCTTATTTACTACATAGACTCTGATCCTGATAACTAAATGTCAGAAAAAGGCCACTGGAAAGAGATTTTCATCCATCACTTCAATATTACCATATAATGTCTTCTGAAAAAGGATACTGCAGAGATAAACCAGACTGTGCATGGCAGTAACTGCTTAAACACTGGTTAGCTCTGGTTTTCAATTTTAAGGGCTATCCAAATTTATAGAGACTGTTCCATAGTCAGAATCCAGGGCAATAAAACCTTCAAATAGCAATTTCCCCTTTTTGCATCCAGTCTTGTAGCACTGGCCTAAGTCTCCAAACACCTCTTAAATTTTATCATTGGTGCTTATTTGGCTGGATATCAAGACAAATTAGTGAGTTAGAATTGTGGAGATCTGTTGAGAGCTTTTGATTCTAGGGCAGAATCAATCAATTATTGCTGAGCATACCGCTCCAGCTCTTACAAGAGGGTTAAGTGGCTTGATTCATATTCGGATTTATACAGCACTCATATACAAAAAAATAAGTAGTGGAGATTGACTGGCAGAAATGGAGAAAGGTCTTATATGTCTCCCAGTTTTTTAAACTACTCATCAGATGAAGCAAATTCCTAGTGGGCACACACATGAGCACAAGCAGCATAAAGATGGTCCTTTAGCTTTTTTAGGCACACTGCTATATCAGTGCCTGAGACTTGGGACTTCACAGGTCTGGTCTCATTAACTCTGCCAGAGATTTACACACCTCTAACACTTTTCATCACACATGACTTTTAATATTAATAAATTCCTATGTATGAAAATTGCTAATTATGCAATTAATTGATCATTTCCACTTCAGCCCTTTTGAAAATGATGCATAATATACCTGTTAAACTAAGGACGGATATGGAGATGGAGGGAGTGGAAGATAAAGCAGAATTCATTGTATTTTAAAATGGTAGAAGTATATTCAACTGATTGCATGGGTCTTTTAATTTCTTTTTATTTTATATGAATGTCATCAAATAACGATTTTTTTCTTACACTGTGATTATTTTCTAACCCATTGTATATTACATTTGCCAGCACAGCACAGTAAACAGAATCACAGAATGACAGAATCAACCACGCTGGAAAAGATCTCTGAGATCATCAAGTCCAAACTATGACTTAACGTCACCTTATCAACTAGACCATGGCACTAAGCGCCACATCCAATCTTTTCTTAAACATCTCCATGGATGGTGACTCTACCACCTTCCTGGGCAGCCCATTCCAATGCTCAACGACTCCTTCTGTGAAGAACTTCCTAATGTCCAACCTAAAACTTCACTGGCTCAGCTTGAGGCTGTATCCTCATGTCCTGTTGCTCATTGCCTGGGAGAAGAGGCAGATACCCACCTGGCCTCAACCTTGTTTTACATAGTTTTACAGAGTGATAAGGTCTCTCCTGAGCCTCCTCCTCTCCAGGCTAAACAACCTCAGCTCCTTTAGCCACTCCACACAATTAATTAAAAAAAAAAAAAAAAGAAGTCCCATTATTACCCAAGTAAACCCATCAATCAGATTTTTTCATGAATCCAGGTAAGATCTATTTCAAGTTTTTCTTTGTTCTGTAAGTATGAATACAAAATTTTGCAAGGCTTGAGAGAAAAGACTTCATTCAAAGTTCCTCAGCAAGCCATATTCCCTAGTGTATTTGTCTTTTTTTCCCTCCTCACCATTTATCCTGTATCTTATGTCTGGCACTCGAGAAGGCAAATATTTTTTAGAGCTTCTAAAACACCTCAGGCTGTGCCTACAGCTACAGATATGTAACCATATGGTTCCTTAATTACTTAAATCACTATGTAAGGCCTGCGTGCTAACGTTCAAGGTACACTTCACTCTGGTGTTAGCCCAAGGGGACCCATCTGATAGACAGACCTCGTGACTTTGGCATTGCTTGTTTTGCTGCTGTGGCATTTCCTTGGCAATTCTCTTAAAATATAAGGGTCATTTCTCAGATATCTATTGACTAAAAACTGTGGAGTCTTGTCACTTGAAAACTTCATTGTATTGTTATTGCTTACTTTGTGTGCCTATATTTTTTCCTTTCTGAAGTTTTGCAGATGATATAAAACTGGGAAGCTACCATCCAGAAGGACCTTTAGAGGCTTGGAGAAATGGGCCAAATGGAACCTCATGAAGTTCAGTAAAGGAAATACCAAGCCCTGCATCTGCACAGCAGTAACCTCTAACACCAACAGAGTCTGGGGGATGACTTGCCGGAAAGCAGCTCTGCAGAGAAGGGCCTGAGGGTCCTAGTGAACAACTAGTGGAACATCAGCCAGCATTGTGCCTTCTGGCAAGGAAGGCCAACATCATTCTGAGCTGCATTAGGAAGAATGTTTCCAGCAAGTCTTATTCTCTGCTCAGCACTGGTGAGACATATCTGGAGCACTGGGTTCAAGTGAAGAACTCCCCAGTACAGGAGACGTGGACATACTGGCGTGAGTTCAAAAGAAGGTCAGACAATGATTATCCAGCTGGAGCATTTGACATATGAGGAGAGACTGAGAGAGATGTTCAGCCTGGAGAAGAGAATGCTTAGTTGGATCTTATCCAGCTGTAAGGATTTACATGAATAAAGAGGACAGAGCCAGACCCTTTTTTGTGGGGCCCGTTGACAGGACAAGAAGCAATGGGCACAAACTAAAGCACAGAAAGCTTCATCTAAACATAAGAAAAAGATTTTTTTTTTTATGGTGGGTGTGATTAAACACTGGAGAAAGTTGCCCAGAGAGGCTTTGAAGTCTTCATCACTGGAGATTTTCATATCTGGACTGGATATAGTCCTGAGCAACCTGTTTTAGCTGACCCTGCTCTGCAGGGGCTAGGACTGCAGAGACTGGGAGATGCCCTCCAAACTCAACTACTATGAGATCTTTTAGTTCTGTGATACTATATAGAAAAAAAAATCATACCTGAGGGTAATTTACTTCTTTCTCTCTACAACTAAAAGTTTTAAGTTTGGTATATGACTTTCCAAAAATTTATGGATTTCTTTGATCTTGTCCCCTGAAATATGAGTTGAAAACAAATTACACGGCCACTACCCAGTGAAAGAATGAAAAGAACTTAATCTCTGGTAAAAAAAAAAAAAACAACCACGAATACTCACTGAATTTCATTAAAAAGAGTGAAAACAAGCATTCTTACTTGTTGAAGCATTGAAAACAAGCATTTCAATAAGACTGAAGATTAGACCTTGTCCACAAAGTACATTACAGTTTTGGTGCAAACCCAAGGAGATGATAGCTTTTCTTCTTGCATTTTTCAAGAATAATCAGAGAATGTTCACCTTTATATATGCCATTGTATCCTCCATGGACTTCGCCAGCACTAGAAATTTCTTCAATATGAGCCCCTTGGTCAGATGTGAAGTATACAAGAGTTTTGTCACTCAGATTATGTTTTTCCAGCACATCCAGAACTTGTCCTAGGGAAAAAGACAATAAATAAATACAAAGAAAAAAAAAAAGGACAGCTTTAGTACCTTTGAGTGGCTTTTTCATTAGTCTTGGCACACATAAATATTTTTTTCCTTATGCCTTTTTGAGACCACTTTCCACATAAACTCTATTATACATAGCAATTGGCACCATGCAGCATAGAGTAGGAGACAACTGCACAAGGCGTTTTGCAATCAGGACCATGGTTCGATTGCTGCAGGGTTTCTTGAAGTACAAAATTAGAAGATTTGTGCACAGCAGAGAAAAGGGCTGATCCACAGAGAGCCTGTGACCTTTGGAAGCAGTTGGTCTCAATCAAGGAAGTCCCTCAGCAAGAAGATTCAAGCTGCTGAGGATATCTGAAAGTGTTTCAGCATGCAGAATAGAGCTCACAGTTTGGGGGTAAAGCCTTGCTGCCTAGCAACTATAGAGGCAGCATGGCAGAAATCTCAGTGTGAGCGTTAAGACATTCTGAAAAAAAAAAAAAAAAAGGAAGAGAATGTATGTAGTGTCTTTGGAGACCACGTGGTTTCATTATCAAACTTATTAATTAGTCCTTAATATCTCATCACATAAGAAGACATCAACTAAACTCAAGATGTGTTAGGTAATAAACACACACAGGTGCATGTATTTAAAAGAAGTATCCACATGGATAAGTTTTGTAACTGTAAGGTAACATGGGCTCATGTTTCATTTTCACAAAAGGCTCCTCATGCTACCTTGGCACTGTGGAGAGCCTTGCAGTGTACACAAATTACATTTAAACCCATTCAGACTCCATTCCTTAAAGGGTGTTTATGAATGAGAGTGAAGCTGCTACTTGTAACTTGCTCCAGTGAATTTTATACTGATTAGGAATCTAAAATTATTGGTCCTGGAAAATGACCAAAACTTAAGAATATAATTCTTCACATCAGCCTGCCGATGGGTTCTAAGCTTGTCCTTTAGGGATCTCAGAACATTTTATCTTTACCCTTTTTACTTAAAGATTCAAGAATGGTCCAATTTGAATGTTAATTTTGATTTGTTCAACTGTCCACTAAGAATTAATTCCTCATCTAATGTCCAATTATTGTGTCAAAGAAGATGAGATAAGGACTTTTAAATGATTTTCAGACCATCATTTCAGTTGCTATGTTCTTTTTCTGGATAAGGAGTAGTTAGCTTCTTATTGCTACTATTTCTAGTTGACTTTTAATGTTGTAGCATTCTAAAACTGCCTTGTTAAAATGGTTGACTGTCTTCATTTCTCATTAGCTCAGATGACTGGATCATGAATAAAGGAACACCAGCAGTTAAATACCTATTCATCTTGTATGCAAACTAGAAGCAAAGAAGAAATGTAAGAGTAGGAGAATTTGTTTATGTAAATTTTGAAGCCTCGTGGGAGTTGAAATTTCCCAACAGAGATGAGGAAAATCTGTTACAAAGGCTGACATTTTAAAGTTGGTGGGTTGAGGAAAAATCATGCAGATCCATCTTGCTGCATAAGGTGGACTTAGTGCCAGAAAAGAGAGAGGCAAATTCCCATTTGCTACTGAGATTCTTTGGAGAAGGTACTTGCTAAGTAACTACAATATCCCTTGGAAAGGTGGCAATGATGATAAAAAAGCAGAGTATAAAGATAAATTAGGACATTATGTGTAGGTATTCAGCCACATGACCTCCAGAGTTCCCTTCCAACCTATGACAATAATAATAAATAGTATTGTGCAAAGAAATATATGTACAATGACGCGCACAACAGCATTTTTTTACATACGACATTTTCCTTTATGAAACTGAACTTTCAAATTCATCGATACCAAACAAAATTAAAATAAAATTAGAATTGCACTCAGCATATCAAATTAAATGATCTCTGGTGATCAGAGACACCGGTAATCATTCAATAATGGCCATTTTGATTCCCTAATTAATTTGGGGAAAAATGAGAAGCAATGAAAAATGTCTTGCTATCACAGATAATTAACCTAAAATTTAAAAATTAATATTAAATATGTAAGACATTATGATGATATTTTTATTTAGTGTTTGTAACAGAGTTGAGTAGCTTGACCTTGCCTGGAAAAAAAAATTCTGCCACTCAAATGTTTCCCATTTTAGAAAAAATACACCTCAATAAAATGTATAGAAATTCTCATCTAAAACTTGTTGAACTCAATGGTAAAACCTCCATTTCCTTCAAATGGATTTTTAAATCAAAGAGGATTGGCTACATTAGGGTTAATTAATGAATGCTAAAATGACAATTTATTTTAGAGCAACTACATTTTTCAGTACAGGTGGACTAATAGCAGTAATTCAAATAACATTATTGTCAGAGAATGGCAATCACAATGCACTCACAGAAATGAAGCAAAACTTCCATTCCTATTTTGATCTTGAACACTGACACCTTCTAGAATGAAAAATATAAATAAAGAGCAAAGTATGTGCTGCCAGGAGATAAGCCACATTTAAGTGCATTTGAATGAGGTTACTACTGTTCACTTAAGCAATACATTATTTTTTAGTATTTCTAGATGGTAACTAGTACAGAAAAATGAAAATAATGCCTTGTGGATCTCTATGAAGAGATACCTTTTATTTGCAATATTACATGAATTTTGGAAGCAAATACTACCATGAAGGAAAAACACAACCTTTACCATTTTCTCATAAAAATTTAATTTCAAGTCTAACTCATCCACTCTCACTACTTCTGTATATTTCAGAGACTTTAGAATTAAGTTACAATCGATGTATAAACATTCCCAGGCAATGGCAGTTAACCTATTTTATCTGCCTTTGGAAGAGGTGAACTGTAAAAAGACCTTTTATACCTGTTGGCTAAAAAGAAAAGATAGGCAACTAACTCGAAAGTAAATGCCTTCATATTAGACATCAAGGACAGTAAGATGAATTGTACCCAAAGTGCTAGACATGCAAACTACAGGAGCAACAAACTTTATTGAATGTGGTGAACAGATAAATGATGTCTGCGTAAGAGATGATGGTAAAACTGTATTGCTTCACCCATAAAATATGATGGGAAGTATGTTACATGTCATGTGCTTTTGAATTACAGGAATGGGGTTTCAGCTGGCTGAAGTTCTATTGCTGGTTGCAGAGAGCAATACAAATTTTAATAGTGTTTTTGGATGTAAAGAGTTTATACAGGATATGAAACTCTGGGATAGATAAGTCAAAACATCAGGAAAACCATAGCTTTGTTGAAGCAACAATACCTTGCTATCCCCAGAGTAGGAAATTATCAATAAAAATGGAAAGAGTTTTGATTGGAAAAGCTCACTTGAAAGCCATGTTCTAAAGAATTAACAGCTGCATTGATCTCTGTGGATGGTACCATTTACATTTTTTCCAATTTAAACAGAACATATTTGGAAAGACAACATTTCTGAATATCAAAATCAATCTAACTGAAGGAGCTGCATAATTTCTGAAGCCATTTCGCAAACAGAATTTCAGATCAAGTTCCTCCTACTATAATCATTTTAGCAATATATATCACAATGTACGTGACTACCGTTGTATCAGACAAAGGTATTAGATCATTGGACATTTTCATTTCTTTTATATTTTTTTTAGGTTAAGGACACCGTTAAGATGTTTCCTGTTTTAATTAGTACATCAGTGTTCGAAAATTTAAGTAAAACTCTCTCCATAGTATACTGAAGACTGCTCTCTATATTCAGCTCTCCATTCTTGCTTCAAGCTTTGTAAATTATAAAGAATTATTTCATTTGGAATGTGAAAATGCCAATTTCAGTGCATTGGTAGTCATGTGAAAGTGAGAAGAGCAATTGACTCAGTTCTTTGGAATGAAACACAGTGCCATGCCACTATTCAACTTCTGTAGCACAACCTGAATAGCAGCTGAACCAGCTTCTCTAATGCTGAATTTAATTTCTGAGTTTTGAATTATATAAAGCTCCTACTGTACTTATCTACATGAAGAGATAAGGTTTATAGAAAATGACTATTCATTTGAAAACAAGCAACAAACATTGAAAACCAATAATGTATTTACAAACATGTTAGTGATTTGGAAAATTGTTCAAAGGTTCAGTCAAGTAGGAATAGGAACAATTGGACTTTATTCATAAATTAGTCTGCTGTCATTTCAAATCAATAGGAAAATATGTTATTTGTACTAATTTGAAATAACTTAGAGTATTGCTGAAGCCATGAATAAAAAGCTACAGAAAACAGAATACCTCTGTGTAACCTAAGCAAAAGAACAAAATAGTCTCTCTACTTGTAAGGAAAGCTTTAAAGCAGTTTTCCAGATTCAAAGAAAAAACTAGATTCAGAAGAATGGTTAAGGATCTGTCTCAGGAAAAGAAAGTTGAAAATAAACAAAATTCCTGTAAATGTAACATTCTTTTTCCACTCCAGCAGACTTTCACATGCCTCTCATATCTAGAAACTTACAGCAAGCTTGAAACAACTACTGGACAAAGAGTCCAATAGATCAGGCACCACATCACTGCCTAGAATAGGCAGTTTGGTTGTAATTGGGACTTTATTCTTTTTATTTCCTGTTCAGAATTTGCTACTGCTGCTCATATTTGGTTTCAAACAGCATCATTAACCAGAATCACAAGTAACTTGTAGTCAGCTCTAGGGGTTCACCTCTGTGAGTGGCAAGCCTTTGAAATAAATGCATAAACTCCTACAAGTTAATGCTACATGCATAAGAATCTGGAAACCCACATTTCTCCCAGAAAATATATCGATGCCATTCAACTATATACCTACCACATAGTAAAGCTCTTGGGAGCCCCTTCCTGCTACAGCAGTTTAAGGTAATGCCACAGTTAATTGTCTCTTCAGTTTAAGATTTTCACCTTATAAAAACTTAACGTTGCAACTTCTGCATACCATTATTCACAAGCTAACAATCATTTTAATCTCTAAGTTGATTTTCTGTGATAAAAAAAAGATACTTCATTCTAATGCACTAATCTGATTACAAAAT